TGGTCCTTTATCATGCCCATCTTTGCATGAAATGTTCCCTTCATATCTCCAATTTTCTTGAAGGGATCTCTGGTCCTCCCTATTCTATTGTTTTCTTCTATTTCTTTGCACGGTTCATTTAAGAAGGCATTCTTACTTCTTCTAGCTATTCTCTGGAATTCTGCATTCAATTGGGTGTATCTTTCTCTTTCTCCCTTGCCTTTCGCTTCCCTTCTTTCCTCAGCTATTTGTAAAGCTTCCTCAGACAGCCATTTTGCTTTCTTGCATTTCTTTTTCTTTGGGATTAGCAAAGTATATTGATATCAATGAACCCTACTTCCAAGGCTTAGGTTTCCTTTGGTACAGATAAGACTGCTATTTTTATCATGGGACCATTTCCTATTCTTTCAGCTACATGTGATCTGTTTTTGAGCTGACATATACTTTCTTATGCATTATTAACAACCAGTCAGTTTACTACTGTAGGCAGCACTATACCTCTTGTTTATTAAAAAGATGAAATTTACTTCCCTTCTCTATCAAAGTTATCCATTATTTCATACAGCTGACAGATCCCACAGCTGACAGATTTAATGACATTCAGCCCATCTTAATTTTCTGTCATGTACCTTATAACATATTCAGAATTTCCTTGCAGTCTTTATATCCCAACAAGATCCTAATTTTCTGGAATAAAAATGAAATCTTCAAAGATGACAGTATTCTCATCTTAATGATTTTTTTTTTTTTTTTGGTAATAAAATTGAAAATGGAAAGTGGCAGAATGCTCAATCTGATCCTTTTTCAAGTGGACAAGTTTTTATCAGGCTATCTGAAAATAACCAGTTATTTTCACATTATAACGCCTAGTTAAAGTATGGGAGGACCGGTTTAGCTAGCTTTAACTTATACTGTTAACTGACAACAACAATTATTAGAAGTCTGCCTTGAATTGTCCTGCTCAACACTGAACTCCTAATATTAAACTGTTACAGAAGTAGATTTGTAAATAAGTTTTACTAATGTAACATCTAATTTCGGAAGCCCGGCCTCATTTTCAGTTAGCGTATGACTCAAAAATATACTGAAGTAGGGTTGCCACCTGCAGGCTTTTCCAGACATCCTAAATAATTGAAGAAGCGAAGATCATGAACTGCAGGTATAAACTGAATGCGTATCCAAATGTGCAAATATCTGTGGATAATGGCTATCCCCACTGGACTGATTTCAACAGGAATGCGCGTCAAGTATCTATCTCCACCCATATTATACTATAACTAGCCACTTGGTGGTGGGTAAAACCACCACTATCCTGATTGGGAATGGGATGAATCTTTCAAAGCCTATTTGAAAAATTTTCTGTAAATGGTCAAATATCTTAAACCCAGGGATGCTTTTCCAATGTCACCAGCTCTTCTGTCTGACAATTTCCTTCCTTCTTTTTTCCAAACTCACAAGTTGCAAGGGGGGGTGAGTAAAATGGAAAAACTCTTACAAAACCCAAAACAAAACCCTAAGGATCAGAACCCTTGATCTCATAGCAAAAGCACTAAGTTCAAATCACTCTATATCAATACAGAGCCTGTTGCCGGTTTCTAAACAGAAAGAAAAACGAAATATCCCCAGTCTTTCTTGCTTATTTCCTTATTTGTTTATGCATTTGCTGTTTCTTTAAACATGCTTACTTATTAAATTCTCACAGTGTTAACGTATACATGTCAACTTTTAAGTTTCAGGTATGTATTTCAGGACTGCAGCCCTAAACACTCTTTACCTTGCTTATTTATACATTAACTTTAATTTTACCTTTTCAGTGATGTACCATTTGCCTTGCTTACCCGCACCACAGCCCAAAACTTTATTACAATATAAATGGAATAAACTCCAGACCCATTATAATGGCACTGAAGACTGGTGAATTTCTTACATAAAAGCTGTACTGCTTACAACTTACACTATTCAATAATAATCAAACTTTCAAATATATAATTTCAAATATAAATTTCAAAAAATCAAATAATTGATAAATTAACATTCTATTATTTTCCTACAAAAGTGATTAAAATGGTCACAGAAACATATTGCACAAGTTCTTTCTAGTGGTTGTGCCTTTAATTCTTGCCCTTACAATCATGTGGGATGTTTTCCTGCCCTCTATTTTGGAAAATGCTTGGAGTGAATCTAGTTTGGAGGGAGTTAGAATATTTTAAAAATCAATTGCTTCATCAGCTTAGTGAATAAATCATCAATTTCTTACATCCCTTCTTCTGACCAAAATTTGCAGCCTTGGTAGTCTTCTGTCATCTGATTGCAGTGCTATAATCTATCACATTAATTTTGTTATGAATTGCTTCAAGGAAACACCAGTTGGGAAGCCAGATAGGCACTCTCTAGAGTACTGACTCCACCTAGATACAATTTGGCCTAGTGCCACTTAGTGAATAAACTATATAATGACACAATCCACACATCTTCCTGCTTTGTTTAAAGATAAAATAAATAAAACATTCGGTCATTTGTGTAATTAGTAGAGTTCAAAGAAGAATCTGCAGCAAATTCAAATGAGTTTGGATTTCAGTGAATCTCTCTAGATTTTGCAGCTTTTCCTGAATTATGGAAATTATGCAGAATTGTTTGCTTTTTAAACTATTTCAGAGGATTTGCATAAGTGCACACTTGTGTAGATGACAATTAGCACAAGTGCACATTTACAAACAAAAAAAGTCTCATACAAAACTCTGCTTCTGCCTTGAATGAATGACAGAATGAAAGACACGTGATAGTTTGCAAAGCAGAGACAAAACTGACTTAACAAAATCCATATATTATTTTGGCTATTATGATCATCTTCATTTCTATACTACCCAAGAGCTCTCTGGGCAGTCGCAACAGTACATAAAAACAATGCAGTAAAATGCCATAAAATCTTATCAAAAGAAACAGTAAAAATTAAAACCAGCTAGTAATCAGTCATTTATCTCTATATATCGAAAACTTCCAAATGATTTGACTGGAGTGAGTAACATTCTGAGTAGTAACATCACTGCTATTCATAGAAGCACAATCACAAAAACCCCTGTTTTCAGGTACTGCTCGTGTATTTGTTGATTGTGTCTTCACAGGAACAGCAAAATATGAACCTGGTGATTTTTCCTTGTATAATAGCTGAAGTTTGCCATCTTTTTCTACATAAAACTCAACATAAATGATGTCTCCTGTATCTATATGTGGTCATTTCACACTTAATTGCATTAAGATGCCAACTTCCCACATGAGTATTGCTTCATGCTTTCTAGCTTATTGATTCTGATTGGGAAATATATTAATATGTATGGACCTAATGATGACTCTCTGCTTTTGCTTCAAGAGTGCTTAGCATATTAATAGATATTATTGATCATTATTTGATCATGCATAGAGACATCAATTTGATTTTAGACCCTTTACTGGATAGATGTACGCTTGCTTCTATGAGCCAAAGGATGATGAGATTTATACTTCAACTTTATACAGCTGAACTTAGTCCTATTGATACTTGGATCATTTTGCATCTTGGCAAGACTGAGTACACTTATTTCACCAGAGCATCAGAGTTGCTTTGAATTAGATTATTTTATGGCTTCTACATCTGTATTATGTCAATTAAATCTCTATGGGACTGATATACTGATAGTGTTAGAGCAGCCCAAGTTTGCTTGAAGTTGCTATATCCAGTTATTCCAAGTGCTCCAAATCAATTTCATTTCAATATTTATCTTTTTAATTTCAGGATATTTTGAAACAAGATTTCTGCTGAGTTGTTCAAGTATTTTAAAACTGTATCGATTCCTGAGCCATTGAGTGGGAATCCAGAAAGTCTTTTTATTGAATGAATTTTTGCCCATGGTATTTATAAAAAAGAAAATAAAATGCAACAAATCTTTAAACTAGGAGTTGAAATCTTTTATAACACAATTCACAATTTGCCCAGCTACACAACTATTAGAAGATGCAGAACTTTAAATGCAAGTTGAGTACTGTTCTTTCACAGCTGACAGAATTTGTATTCACAAGTAAACTGAGAAAGTGGTGAACATGTAAAGTAAAAATTTGGCACATCATTCTAAACAATGAAAACATAAAATGTTAGGTCAAATATTAAAGAGCAGAGTATGACATATACCTCTACCATAGATATGAGCTCCCAATTTGTAGTTTTTTATTCTCATTTGTATAGTATGTTAACCTTCTATGTTTAGAATCCACACAATGTTAGTTTCACTTGATGCCTCTGCTTATAAAGGGAATTATGAAGCAATTCCAAATAGGAATATTGAAAAATCACCTGGTTCTGACAGGTTTCCCACTAAGTAGTAAGTTAGCTCCAAAATCCTACTTCTAGCACCACTTTCTTTGGTACCAACTCATGGGGAAAAAATAGTCTTACCCGCAAAATTTCTTCAACACAGCTGTCATCTCTTGGCCCACTGTCCTGGAAACAAAGAGGAAAACAGATACAAAGTGAGAAATAGCGTCTAACACATTTACACAATGTGATAACGAGTAACACATTGCAGGATTTGGGGCAGTGGGAAGCTGCCTGGCATGGTTCTCTGGTGTGCCAAGCAGGATAATGACTCGCTCTGAGGATCCCTCAGGGCAAGACATAAGCCCACTGCTCTGAAAAGCCATGCTAGAAACTCTTGCTGAGATATTCAGTGCAGTCAGATAGCAGTCGCCTCAGTTCTCCAAAGCAGTCGCCCATCTTGCCTTGCTCAGAATAAGGTGGAGAATGCTCTAAAGAATCACAGCAGCTGCTTGCTGGCTGCATTTGCTGGCTGGGGTCACCACTTTGGCCACCCTATTGGAGAGGTATAGGAGGCAGCAGTGGAGTCCATGGGACTCATCGTCCTTCCAGACCCTCCAGCTTAGGCAGGGGGTTCATGCAACCTTATGGGGGCTGGGCCTGCTGAAGTGCTGCACACCATAAACCTCTTCACTACAAGCCTCGCTGAAGTGAAGTTGCTAGCATGTACTTCTGCACAGGACTCACCCATTCTAATGGGATTTGAGTAGGAGAAGGTCATAATGAATCAAATGAAAGCCAGTGTAATGTAGTGGTTAGTGTGTTGGACTGCGATCCAGGAAAAGGGGGTTCTATTCCTCACTCAGCCACAAAGCTCACCAGGTGACTTTGGGCCAGCCTAGTTCACAGGGTTGTTGTGAGGATAAGAATGAGAGTCAATGTAAGCAGCCTTGAGTTCCTTGAAGAAAAAGGGGAAAAATAAATATAATAAATAAATAAAATGAATTGTTCCTTATATTAAAAATGAATCAATTAATAAAAGATCAAGATAACTTTATGAAGCAATACAAAAAGAAGTCAGCAGTCAACATCATCTATTATCTTGTCAATGTTAGTTACCCTCATCTTACACCAGTGACATACCTGTTATACAGCACTGTGAAGGGTGACCTTATGCAGCCTTAAGTTACAAAATATCCAAGCGTATTTAGTGAGCTGGATCCAAGGCCTGCCTTTTGTGAATTCTTACAGAAGGTGCTTTCACCTGATTTTGGTGGATCCTCTCCCATCTCCTCAGCTCACCCCATTCAGCACAGTCCTCTACAGTAGCAAAGATGGGAAAAGAAGCATGTTTTTCCTAGTCTGGCTGCATGTAGCGAAATCTGGATCCCATCACTGTTTCTGGGCCAACAATTTAAACAGAGAGGGCTATACTAGGTGACAACCAATACACATATTCAGAACTGTGGCATTTATGAAGTTTCTGTATATTTTACTTGATTACTCTTTCGTACAACCAATACGTAGACTCTACTGGGAATGTTGAAAATTGTGGGATATGGTGGCGGAAATTTCTTCCCCTTGATAAAAAGTGTTCTTTTCTAAGGTGAAGCCCCTTCAAGGAAATATAATCTGGGGTGGAGAAATGGTATGCAAAGAAATGGTTAAATACACCTGCTTTATCAATGTTTAGGTCCAAATTCCCCTCTCCCATAATTGTCGCTGAGGTTTTGTGCATGTGCATATGAGCAACACATGGTAAGGCCCTAAATTCTTTCACTGTTAACTTCTGTGACTGACTTCTGTGCTGCATAACAAAACTATCAACATGTTGCTATTAATACTTTGAAAGAGCCACATCAGTTAGATTCAGAAATGATTTCTAATTTTCATTGTAAAAATGAAATATTTATTTAATGCTAGGGGTGTGCTAGTTATTAAACATCTCAAAACTATGCATGGCCATGTAATGGAAAGGGTCTGGAATGCTCTGCTGTTATTCAAACTGAACAAAAATTACTGGCATTATTAAAAGTTATTATTTTAAATCCACTGCCATGATTTCAGAGAATTCCTCAAGTTTCAGTCCCCTCCTGAATTTCTAAGCACCAATCTGAACTGGGGAATATACATCTTGATATACATCTGCCTGAACCTAGAGATACTAATGTGTTGATGATCCTGTTTATTCTAATTTGGACAAGCCATCCTTTTAATTTTAGTTTAGTTTAGTTTTTATTTTAGTTTTTGGTAATTGAATCTTCCTTGCCTAAAAAACCTTGCATCACATATCAACCTGACTCCTAACATAACTCTGAAAGCTCTGACTTCCCCTCGAATTGACCTCTACCTGGGTCAGCTTTTTTATGCATCTTACAGGAGAGCATATCCAGTTGTGTGTGCATGTGCGTGTGTGTGGACTGCTTTTTTATTGGAGGAAAATCTACTCTCAGGTCCCACAAGCCCTGACCATTTATTGCCCCAGCTGTTTTGCTCTGAATGTCAAGATAAGATTCATTCACAAGGTTCTCAGGGCAGAGGTTCTCTCAGCTAGGTTCATAACATTCAGAGATACTGAACTGTCTGAAATCTCAAAGGAAAAGGCCTGTTACTACTTCATGGATGGAAAATGCCAGCATGCACATTTCTTTTCCTTTTCTGTTATGTGATTTCTTCTGAAAAATAAAAGCAACACTGATGCTACAGCTTGCTGTGAAAAGAAAGTACTTTCAGGTGGCACAAATCCATCCCATATCTAATCCACACTTACTGTCAGTGAAAGGTGTACTGGCAAAGGGTTAAAGCTCCTCTGCCCCATGCCCTGGACAGGATTGGATTTTGGTGCCAAATATTATAAATGCTTTAGGACATCCAGGGATAAGACATCCAGACATGTCACTTAGAAGAAACCTAAGCACACTTATCAGAAAGAAAGACACATTGAAATTAATGGGTCGTACTTCTGATAAAACACTCGGTTAAGATTGTGCAGCCCACAAAACCATCCAGGTATTTCAATATCAGGATCAATAAGTCAGAAATCCTATACAAATTTGTCTGGGAATTAATCCCACTGAATTTAGCAGGACTTCCTTCTGACAGAGTAGATATGCACAGGCTGACTGTTACTTTCTCATAAATGTGTGCATAGTTTAGTCAACATGTGATACAGCTTTTTAAAGTCATTTTTGTTGTGCAAATTGCCAGATTTAGCTAGCAGAACAGAGCATGGCCCATGATGGAGATAAAGACAACATATAGATTATCCGTCCACAAGCTGATGCCTTCCAGATGTGTTGAACTACATCCCCTATTGTTTATTTATTTAAAACATTTCTATGCCGCCCCCATCACAACAAAGCCTCGGGGCGGCTCACAAAGAATACATAAAAACATACATAAATAACAATAATATAACAATTTAAAAGAAAAAAAACATTAAAAAACCCCCGGCGCATTCTCAGCTAAAAATTTTTAAATCCTAATTAATACAATGATGTAGCAATTAAAATAAGTTTTAAATAAAAAGGTCTTAGCCTGGCACCGAAAAACAAATAACGATGGCGCCAGGCGGACCTCTCTGGGGAGCACATTCCATAGCTGGGGCGCCACCGCAGAGAAAGCCCTCCTCCGGGTACTCACCCTCCTAATATCATTCACAGAGGGTTCCCGGAGAAGGGCATCCGTTGCTGATCTCAAGGGGCGGGAGGGCATATATGGGCGCAAGCGTTCCTTTCGATATCCTATTATCCCCAACCAGCATGCTGACTGAGTTTGTGGGAGCTATAATCCAACACATTTGGTTGGAGAAGGCTGGTGTAGATGATAGCGTTCTAGAAAGTTTGGGATATAATTGCCTATGGTAAATATGGTAAATCTTTTTTCCTCCTTGGTACCTAAGGGTTAAAAAACCCAGCTTACAAGGCAAGCACTGGGCATAGGGAGTTTGAGGGCTGTAGGCTCAATCTTGTTACTGTGATATATTAGCATTTGCGAATTTGAAACTGTCAGTCAAACCTCTTAAGGTTAAGAAAGAATGGAAACCTTTTCAACCCGCTCTACTTTTCCAGGAGCATCAGAACAATCAATTATAAACAGCTGCAATGAAAATATTTCATCCTACAAAAGCTGCTTGGGCACCTCCAGTGAAATGTTTAGACATGCTAGCCAGGCAATCTCATAACTCTTTAGCATTTTGTTCATATAAAACACACAGTATAGTCCAGAAACAATAAGAGGGAAATGTAATGGACTGGAACGGTATAGTTCTATTAATAAAATATAAGGTTTTTATTGTTATTGTGAACAATTAATTGCATAAAATCAATACTTTGTCACAGTATATTAATGGTTTTCTTTATTTATAAAAAATGGTTGTTGAGCTGAACATATTCTCTTGCCTCACTGCTGGAAAATGGTCATACCTAAATTGCTACTGCAGATTGCCAACCTAATCCTTCTAGATGTATGATTCCCATCAGGATTTCTTACACTCTGCAAAAACTGAATATCTAGCATGAAGTACCCAGTACTACTAGAATTTATTTCCTTGTCTCAAAATACAATGCATTTCCAAAAGAGCCAGCTGGTCTTTTTTCTGAAAATGCTTTTTTGCAGGGACATTATCTGTTGCACCATGTGTTTTAATGCATGCTGTAAATGTATTAAACTGACTAATTAGCTACCTATTTTTCTGGAAAGTTCTGAATGTGGAAATTAGATCCTTTTGTCGTTGCAGCAGGTAAGCTTCTTTGTGCAGAGCATGAGCATCAGGACTTAATAAAAACCAAGGTCCAATTTGAAATCTTAGCACTCTGTAATTCCATTCCAGTGCAATGTATTTAAATTTTTGAGATTTCTGTGAAGTGCATATAGTGGAGTGTGCAAATCCTAAACTATAACTTATTAAGAATTGTACTATTTTTTGGTATATTGGTTAACCTAATTATGGATAAGCAGGAATAGAATGAATAACCTGATAAAAGCTCAGGGGAGTAAATCAAAGTGGAAAGTGGTAACCTAAGCAGAATACAACATTATAACTAAATGTGTGTGTCATCATGGTATACCAATTAGAGCAGAACTAGGCAACCTTTTTCCCTGTTTCCAGATGTTTGGAACTACAAGTCTCATCAGACCCGGTGAGGGAGTTCTGCTATATTCAGAGAGCTTGCTTTTCTAGAACA